AGTAAAAAACAATGAACACCCTTAACTCGGCTTTGCTTTTACAGCTTTATCAGGGCTCTCACAGCAGCTGGGGAGCTGCCCGCCCCAAGCTCAGGATTGATGTCTTCTAGGCGTTACGGTGCTGCTCGCTCTCAGAGGCTGTTCCATGGGTTCATCCTCTTCCTCCAGCTCCTTTACGAGGCAGTCAGGTATACTCCCCATGATGGATGCTCATGTACCTCAGCACTCAGAGAGCCCATGTGGCGACCCACTCGTGAGGCCAGACCCCAGAGCTGCCCTCGATGTGAGTTGGTCAGGGCACGGTGGGATGAGGAGAGGTTGCACCACACTGATCTTCCCCTTAACAGCTCACCCATCCCAGCTCCCCTCCAGGACAGCGTGTCCTCACACATCGGTCCGTGCGTAGGAGCTGGCAGCAGATGGTGAAGCTTCGGCAGAGGTGCCGGCAGTCCCTGCGCGAGGCTGTGCCGCTTGAAGCCACCCAAGGCAAGAGCAGGACACAGCAGATCAGCGCTGCACCGTGGTTGGGCTGGAAACCAAGCGTTGCACCCAGCTCATCTTGAGGAGAAATAGATGGAGAGAAACACAGCAAATCTCCCCTTGCGTGGCAGCAAAAAAGGGGTAGCTTGCTAGCTGCTCTCCTGGAGAGAGGTCAAGAGGAGGGGAGCCTGAATTTTAGCAAAGCTCCTATGAATGCGGGGATCAGCATGGGATTTAGTCTCAGCCCTGGGCATTTGCTCCATGCTGCAAAGCCACGTGTGTTAAGCTGGTGAGATTTGTCTCTCCTGGGGTGCTGGTTGCGCTTTGCCTGCTCACACTGGGCTTCATTCAACCCCCAGATCAAAACCATAAATAACAGAACCAAACTGTTCCCTCCGTGCCACCGTCCATCGACGGTGAGCAAAGGTAGGGACTAGAAACAAGCGGCACGGAGAAATGGCTGTTTTGTTCTTGCACAGCGATGGCTGGACCATGCTGGGTGGACACAGAGAGGAGGTGACGCCACACAAAGCTGCACCAGGGTGGCACTGAGAGACCTGTGCGGGGCTGAGAGCCTTGATGGCTCATGGGGCCAGAGCTCCAGCTCTGCCTCCCCCAAACCTCTCTGGGCCCACCAGGAGGGAGAAAAGGAGCTGGGATGGGTCTGTTGCAAGGCAGCAAATGGCTGGGGAGAGACTTGGAGACCTTTAGAGGAGAGAGGTTACAGGGGAAGCAACAGCAGAGGCGAACCTGTTGAATGCACCTTTGCCCAAAAGCCAGAGAGGTGCCTCCACCCTCTGTCCCTGGGGACTGCTTTGGGGTGACTCTGCTCTCCCTCTGCCAGCAGACGGAAGACAGGGCATGCCAAGCAATGGGGCTTTGAAGCCCCAGGGACTTGGCTCCATCCAACTGGTGGCCTCCTGCCCAGCCAGGACCCTTGATGTGATGCTGGGGAGGGAGGCAGGAATGAACGAGGCCGGTATCTGACGCACTTCCTCAGCCCCATCTTCGCCAGTCGCCAGCACTGGTGGCCGTGCCGGCGAGATGAGTCACCAGGGCTGGCTGGTTTCTGCAGCTGTTTCTCTGCTCTGTCCCATCTCCTTGGGCAACACTACACGGAGATGAGTCTGGACCTACTCACCAGGGACATCAGCAAGTTGGCCAAAGCCCGGGATGATCTCTCCAGCCCCCGTTCCCCAGCTCCTAACCCACGATGGAGGTATGTGGCTGCCATCCCCGAGCAGCAGCATTCACCCTCACCCCATTGAATCAAGAGGGCCCCGCTGGGCTGGACTTGAGGGACAGAAATGCAGCCGCCTGCATTTATTTTGCCTAACAACAGTGATCTCTCTGTATATTTTCATTCTGTTTTCCTAGGCTCAGCTGCCTCCTCAATGAAATGTTTCCAAAGCAGCCTGGCTTGGCGGCATGCCAGCCCCGGCTGCCAGATGAATGGGAGGAGGAGGAGGGATCCATTCCTCTTCTTGACACAGCATCGCTGCACAAGAGGCCTCTGTTGACATTAGGACTGGCTGTTCCCCCTCTCCTGAGAGGCTCTGCCCGGCCCCCGGCTGGAGCAGCGCACAGGGCCAAGGCAGCAGGCTGCGTGTGATGTGGGACCGGGGTCTGTCCTTCTCCGGGGTGATGGCACAGACACCGTGGTATCACGGCCCAGCACTGCCAGGACCTGATGTCAGCCCCAGTTTCTTGCCCTAGACCCTCCCCTGCTGAGCCAGCCCCCCACCCCGACAGCTGAGCGCTCCTTGGGGCTCTCTGACTCCTACTAACAGCATCACTCCCCGAGACGTCAGCGATGTCCCCCAAAACATTTCTCCTCCGCCCCGCCCGGAGCAAAGCTCTCCCTCAGCACCGCAGGAGTGCAGACACCAACACAGCTTGTGCAGAGCTCCAGATCTCCGGCACCTTTCAGGGAGAAGCGATGCCACAGGGGAGCCCAAGCACAGTACCCCCAAACCCTTTAGGCCTTTGGACAACAGTATATGGAGCAGCATCGGCTTCACCCTAAACCCTGGCCACTACTCAGACATATAGGACTTCACCAAACAGTGCCACAGCTCTTTCCCATGCCTCAATTCCTCTACCCAAAGCAAAAGAGCAACCCAAGTCTTCAGGGGTGGAAATACATCTCTGGGAGGTAGCCAAACAGTAGCAGTGAAGCACAGTGCCACTGGGCTGCCCACCCGGCACCAGACGTGAACCCTCTCTCTGCCACCGCTAATTGCAGAGCTGGTCATCAGCAAGCGAATGCAAACCTGTGTGTGTCCCACTTATCACAATGTCACCTCCTTGCCAGGGACACCTAAAGGAGCTGTGCAAGGAAAAGGCTGTGGGATTTAGCAAAAGGGCTGAGGAAGCATCAGAAGGCAAAAGAAAGAGATAGAAGTCATCCCTTTCCTTCCAGTCTGCACCTCTCTCCTCTGGCATCTCCTGCTGGTGGCCCGCACCCAGCCACTGCAAGCCGAGGACCAGCGGCTGGGGCACAGGCCAGAGGCTGGGGCACAGCCGCGCCCAGCAGCACGCCGCGGGGACACAGACTGCTCCCCCCAGCCGTGGTGGGGAGAGAGCTCTGCCTGGATCTGGTGGAAAAGAGGCCAGCCACGCATCGATAAGATGAATTAGTTGTCTCAGCAGCACCGGCAAAATGAGCGAGAGCAGTGGAGCCCGTGAGGCCCGGCCTGCTTTGTTTCAATTACAGCAGCTGCCAGAAGAAAAAGATAACCTCGATATTGATGGCAGGAGCAGCAGACAGAGGTGCCCTTGTGGGCTGCTGGGAGCAGGTAGAGGAGGAAGGGGGAGGAGGGAGGGAGCAAGAGAGATGGAGGAGGGGGAGCAGGGTCTCAGCCAGCACCCATGGGAGAGCCGGGGCTGGCGTCCCTGGGCAGGTGAGAAAGACCCACCTGATCCCGTTGCCCTCATGCCCACAAGGAACAGCTCCTCTTCACCCTGGCTCTTGCCGCCGTCGCTGGCCAGAGCATCCTCCCGCAGAGACAGGGCAGAGGGGTGCAGCCTCCCAGGACGGGGGGCAGAAATTCAGCTCAGAGCATCGTCAGCGGGACACGCACCCCAGCATGGCACCGCATAATGCTGAGCAGAAAAAACCTTTGCTTTTTGCTCCCCACTCAGGCTCTGGTGCCCAGAGAGGAGATGGAGAGTCCAGGGGAGGGCTTGAGTGGGGCCATGTGGATGATGGGTGGAGCTGGAGTGAAGGGCCATGGGGCTGAGACAGCCATGGGGGTGACCTGGGGTGCAGGCAGGCACAGCTGCCTGCCTGGGATGCAGCACCCAGTTGTTTGAGGGCTGGGCAGCCCCCAGCACTGTGCGTGCAATGGGGACCAGGCTGGGCACTGGGGACAAGATGCCCAAGATGACCTTAGACTGCATGTGGGAACTTCAGCCCCATGACAGCAGCTCACGGCAGGCACCCCAACATCACACCTACAAGCCAGAGATCGAGGTGCCAAGCCAAACTTCCTCCTGGCAGCGCAGGGTTAATGTCCTGCCCTGGGAGGGGACTAAGCCCTGGGTTCACTTCCTGGCAGGAGTAACCAGAAGGCATGAAGAGTTGGGGTCTCTTTGGTCATCAATGCCTTTACCACCCGTTCTCTGCACAGGGGAATGCTTTATGGGGTCCATATGCAGCCCCAGGTGTGCCAAGAGAAACACCCAGGGCCAGCCCCGTGCTGAGCCAGCCCCCCACTCTCTCTGGGGAAGGGGCACCAGAGGCCAGGCTGAGCAGGGTTCGCTTCACAGAGGTTTTATTCGTACTCTGGACATCTGCATCGCCCTCCGAACTCGCTTCTCCTCCAGGAGAGACACCAGGATCCTCACCCCCGTCCTCCCAGGGCTGAGCCCTGCATACAGCCCCTGGGTCTCCAAGAGGGGACAAGGCCACCATCTTGCGGCCACCCATCACCACTGCACATACCCTTGTGCAAGGCCTGGAGGGTCCCCAGGATGTGACCACTATGGGGGTACAGGGTTTAGACCATGGGGAGATGTGACCTCCCATTATTCCTTGTGCCTCCATCCCCTGGGATCACGTCCTGCAGGGCACCCACTGTCCCCTCCCTCGCTCCCCAGCCAGGACACCCAGAGGTGCCAGGACACCCAGGGGTGCCAGGACGGACAGAGTATGTTGGCAGTGCTGCTCCTGTCCCGGTTCTGGCCCCTCCACCCCTGCCCTGCTCCTCCATGCAGTGTCAGCCAGCAGTGACCGGGGACCTCCCGGTTTGCACCACTGGCTTCATGGAGCATGGAAAGGCAGGCAGCAGCAGAGGAAGAGATCAGAACTCAGCCCTGGGGCTGAAAATGCGGCACCTCTGGGTGTCTGAGGGGGATTTTCATCCCTGGTCACAGCATGGGTGTACAACCCACATGGGGGATGCTGGAGGGGGTTGTTACACCAATGCTGCTGGTGACCAGCAGCCCAAAGCAAGTCCTTTCATCCTCTGAGAAGCGAGTTGGCGTGGTCTGCACACTACAGGGTTCTTCTGCAAGGCCTAGTGCTCGTTTCCCTCCTCCTGCTTCGGCTCCTTGGCTTGGGACTGCCTGTGGTCTCCACGGTGGTGGTGAGCATGGGTGGCAGGTTCATGGTCCCCATTGGGATCTCTGGTGCTCTCAGTGCTGACCACATGGTGGTGGTGAGGATGGAGGGGGTTGTGATGATGGATGGGGGTCTCTGACTCCTTCTGCTCTTGTTCGGGAAGCGGGCTCATGGTTACAGGGACCTCCATGGTACTGTTAGCCTAGGGAAAGTAACAGAAGGGCTGGTGCAGTGTGTGAACGCACACACAGCCCCGCTGTGAGCCTGTGAGCTGGGATGAAAGCAGACCAGCATCTCTCATACAGAAAGCTGTGTGGGCCAGAGCAAAGGCTCTCCAGCCCCAACCCAGGGCACAGGGAGGACTGGAGAGGCTGGAGCACACAGAGCACAAGCCTCTGTACCTACATCACTTGGCTCAAGTTGTCTGTAGTCCAGGGAATTCCTGAGCTAGAAAAAGGACTTCGCATTTAATATTTCTAGATCGATTTTTCTCCTAGGAAGTGACTCATCACCTGCTGAGCCCAGAGCTGTCCTTTTCTTTACTCTGAGCTTGCCACCTACCTCTGGGACCACTGCCTGGTCCTGTCTTATTATCGCAACAGCCAGCAACCCTAGTTAGCTTTTCCAGGCCTGGGTTATGACCCCTTTAGTCCGTTCCTTCTCAGCCTGAAAATTCTGACCTATTTAACTGCCCTTATTCCAGAACTTTCATCACCTTCCCTCGCAACCATGGACCAGAGTGGTTGGCAACCCAGAGCCTGTCCCCGATGTGAAGGTAAGTTTGTTTTTTTCCTGATGTGCCATGCTGGAG